ATAGACAGAAATAAGTATAGTCAAACAAAACTAACTCCCACACTGACCTCATTCTGCTTCTTAATTCCGTCACCTGGCAGGTGGTGGGTGGGGCATATTTCATCTTTAGTATCCTGGATCCTCGTTTTATCGTTGCATTGATCTGAGTCCTAAAGCAGTTTTCCTTATCACCGGGCTGTCATTGCATAGCTTGGTCTCCTGGTTCTGCTCACTGCCCTCTGCATCAGTTCATCCAAGTCTTCTCAGTTTTCTCCGCAACCGTCCATTTTGCCATTTCTCATTTCTCTTTCCAGTGTTCTTTTCACCAGAAGATCACATGGCAATATGGGGCTGGATTACTCCACGTCTACCACAACTCAAGTTGTTGTTGTTGTTCAGTCCCGTCCAACTCATGACCCCATGGATTCTATTGTCCATGAGGTTTTCTTGGCAAAGATACTGGAGTGGTTTGCCTTTCCTTCTCCAGTGGATTAAGGCAAACAGAGGTTAAGTGATTTGTCCAGGGTCACACAGCTAAGTGTCTGAGGTTGGATTTGAACTCAGACCTTCGTGATGCCAGGCCCAGCCCTCTAGCTACTCAGCCCCCTAGCTGCCTACAACTCAAGCAGGGTCAGAGATTTAGAGTTGGAAGGGACCTTAGAGGTCACCTAGTCTAGCCCTCTCACTTCATGTATGAGGAAACTGAGGCCCACGAAAGTTAAGTGACTTACCCAAGGTCACATATCAGTTTGAAATCAGGCCAAAGGACTCCAAATCTACCACTCATTCCACTGCGAAATGCTCCCTTACTTATCATCCTCCTTGGTAACCAAAGATAAATAGAAATGTAATAATTTCACTTTACTAGTTAGTCCTGTCCCATCCCCCATCCAAACAGAGAGTAGCGACTTCTGTCCCAGGGATTCCCATATTGATTGCAAGGTTCAGCTCATGCTTGGACGTTAGCCTTCTGCACACTAAAGTCTCTCAGCCATCTCTTCACACATCCTGTGACCTGCCCTCATTGCCATTTCTCAGATGCCTGACTTTTACAAATCAGAGAAATTTGGAGCTATGCCCAAAGGGCTACAAAACTGCATATACCCTTTGACCCAGCAATAGTACTACTAGGTCTGTATCCTAGAGATCCAAAGAGATCACAAAAATGGGGAAAAGACCCACATGTACAAAAATATTTACAGCAGCTCTTTTTGTGGTGGCCAAGAATTGCAAGTTGAGGGGATGCCCATCCAGTGCAGTGTCCAGCAGACTCCCCTCCTGCAGAGATCTTCCTTCTTGTATCCACTCTCCTACAAGATTGATCTCAGCACAATTTTTTAAAATTACCTTGCCAATAACCAGGGCAACTAATGAAAATTAACTCAACCCCCATGTCTCCACCATTACAAGGTCAAAATTGGAACCTTGGCCAATTGTCATATTTTAAGAAACTCAAATTAGAAAAATTAGAACCTAGCCTTACACTCTGCATTACTTCTAACTTCATGCCTTGCATTAGTCCATTATTCATTCCTATTCATATTCCCCATCAGGAGGATGAGATTCCACTACGGAATTAATAACACACTCCAATAATCGCTAACGATAAACATTTAAAAACATTTTTGTTTAAAAATCAAACACTCTTGGCCCTGGGTAGTCCCACTACCTCAGTTTGCTAGCTAGCGTTCCCTGGCCTCCCATCACTAGGTTTTCTCCTCCGAGGGTCCCTTTCCTTCCCCGGACTGGTCCTTACCTTGCTCAAGATATCTCGACTTTCATAGTCCCCTGGTCACCTTGAATCTCCCTCGATTGTTCACTCACCCCTTTCAACCTTAAAAACCAAAACCTCAGGGCCCAGGTGATGCACCCCTGACTCAGCCCAAGAAATAAATCAGTTACCGCCAAATTAAGGACGGGAGCGCTATTCTCTGAGTTCACTCACTTGGGTCAGGGTTGGAGGTCTTTGGATCCCGGAGAGCCCTCAAATGTTAGTAATGAGGCCTTGGACACCCTCAGAGCAGATGACTCCAAGAAATCAAGCCTTTTAGTTAAAAACAAAACCAGGTTTGAAGTGAGTGGAGAAGCGGGCACACCTCTCGGAAAAGAGTGCACCAAATACAGAACTGAGAGAGAGTTTTATACTGTTAGAACGACTCCTCCCTTCCAGGCCCGGATTGGTCTGTTCCTTTGCCCCCTTGACATGCCCCCCCATCCCTTGTCATCCAAAAGCCCATGCCTTTTGTCCTTCTTAGGGCTGGTTAAAACCAGCTCTTCCCTTTAGAATTTTGGGGTCTATGAAAAGATTAGGACCCTTCTCACTGGCTTGCCCTTTTCCGTTTCCCTGGTTTTGCAAGGTTTTGCAAGCTTATTACTGCAATAGAAGTTGTTACTACCAGCTTCTTTGCTGATGTTGTAAGATGTCAAAGGTTATCTTAAATTGTGGGAGCATGATACCTTGTCCTTTACAGGATCACCTAGGGCAATAATATACGGGGAGAAGAGGGTGCAGGACAGGACCTTGGGAAATAGTGGGAGTGATTCAGTGGAAGGTGCGGCAAAGGAGACGGAGAAGGAGCAGTCAGAGAGGGAGGAGGGGAACCAGGACAGACCTAGACAGGCCACAGTATCCAGAAGAGGGTGATACACAGTGTCAGAGGCTGCAGAAACCTAAGTGGGATGAGGCTGCCGAAAGGCCATTAGCTCTAGCCGTGGAAACAACACTGGGGACTTTGGAGGGGGAGTTGATTGAATGATGAGGTCAGAAGCCAGGCTCCAGAGGTAAGAAAAGAAAGAGGAGGGAAGGCGGGAGCAGAGAGTGTAGACGGCCTTCCTGAGGAGTTTAGCCAGGAAAGGGAGAAGAATATAGGACGGGACCTAGTGGAGACGGCCACATCAGTGAGGGTTTTCTAAGGATGAGGGAGCCTTGGGTGTCTCTGTAGCAGCAGCAGGGAATGGGACCAGTAGAGAGCGAGGGGAAGTCAAGAGGCCTAGGCTCTAGTCGTCCACCTGCCAGCACGGTCTCTTCTTACCAGCTAGCTAGGAAAGCCTTGGTGAAATTGCTTTCTCTCTCTAGGCCCTGTTTCCCACCAAAATGAGAGCGTTGAATTAAACGTCTCTGAAGTTCTAGCCAGCTCTAACTTTTTCTGCCTACACTAACATTTCATGAACATTCTTAAAGTCCCTTCCGGTTCTGCCGTTCTGGGGCCTTCAATCAATCTTTTCAATCTCCTGATGCTGTCAGGCCCTGCTCTAAGATCCGGTGGCTCTTCAAACTGAACAAAATGGACGCACTCCTTTTCTTGCCAGTCAAGTCCTGCTGCAATCTAGCTGTCATTTACCTTTCTTCTTTTATTTCCTATTTCTTTACCCAAAAACCCCAGGGCCTTTGCTCACATTGCTCCACCCTTCCGGGTCTGCACCCACCCCACCCACATCCTCATGGTGGGGGGAAGATGAAGTCTTTCCTTCACCCACAGATTTCCCCTCCCCAGCCCCCACCCACCTTGGATTCTGGCCTCAGCTGCCACCATGAAACCTTCCCTGATGCCCTGCCAAAATGCTCTCTTCTTCCTAATATCTCAGCACTTTGCTTGGGTCCTATCCTGGGCACTTGGAAAAGTGCAACAGACTTAAGAGCCCAGGACATTGGCTCGAATTCTGCCTCTGGTGAATCCTCCTGTCTGACCACAGACACATTTCATTCCAGGGTTAATGGGTGAGGCCTGGTTGGAGATCCAGTGGGAGCTGTCAGAGAGGTAGGGGAACAGCCAGGATAGGCAGTGTTGAGAAAACCTAGAGAAGAGAGGATGCAGAAGAGGGTGACAGCTGTGTGGAAGGCTGAAGGGAGGGCAGGATGGATGAGAAACCAGATTTCAGTTGTTGTCCTTTGAATCAAGGAGGACCATGCCATCAGGAAGGTGTTCGAAATAGAGGCACCATTAGAAACTGCCTCTCCCCTCAAGGAGTTTCCATTCTAATGGCCCACTCTTGGAGCAAATGTTGGGGGAGGAGGTCGATAAAAGCAGCAGCCTGGGAGAGAGGCGCCCCGTGCACAGTGCTTTAGCCCCTCACTCCAGTTCCTTCTGGCACCGTGAGAGGAGCTTGGGGCACGAGGGCTTGGCATGGGCACTCTGGCACGGTCCTTCTCAGGCCCCCAATCCCTTTCCCTATTGTTTGCCCCAACTCAGTAAGAGAGGGACCATCTCTGGAAGCATAAGGCTACCGTGGCATCAGGGATAAGCGCAGGCAAACGACCTCGATTCCAATCCCCCTCTCAGATGCTTCCTACTTGTGTGGCCCAGACCAGGCCCTTCGCAAACCAGAGCCTGCCTCCTCTTGGAGCCAGGGATAGATGGGAGGGCTCCCGGGGTCCCTCCCGGCCCCAGCTCTCTGGCCCCACAGTCCTGAAGGACTGAGCACACGGGAGGAGATGCCCGATCTCTGCCAAGAGGCTGTCTGAAGGCCTCCCCTTCTTCTGCCCCATCAGGTGATGATCTGAAAGGTTGCAGACAGCGTACATGCGTGCGTGTGTGTGTGTGTGTGTGTGTGTGTGTGTGTGGGTGGGTGGGTGTGTGTGGGTGTGTGTGCGTATGTATCCTGGGCACCCAGGTGTGTCCTGCCACTTCGTGCGCTCAGGTGTCAGGGGCCATTTGCCTGCTGGTCCTGGGGGGTGGGGGTGCATTTGGCAGCGGGGCTGCGCGGGCCGGCCAGCGCGCCAGCTGGCGGCGGAGTCCAGCCCGCTGGTCTTCGAAAGATCCTCCTGGGCCAATGGCAGGCAGGCGACCCCTCCGACGGCGCACACGGATTGGTTCAGAGGCTCTGCTGATCCCGGTGGAAGCCCGGCCGCGGGGGCTGGGGGGGGAAGGGGGGGGCTGGGGGCCCCCCGCCCCCCCGGGGGGGGGGGGGGGGGGGGGGGCAGGAGCTGCAAACAAAAGCTGCGTGGCCTGCCGGGTGGCCCGGCACAGACTGCCGGAGCGGCGAAGGCTGCGGCATCTGCAGCAGCGGGGCTGGGGCTGGGGCTGGCAGCCCGGGCGGCCGCGGGCGCCATGGGCAAAGGTGGGGAGCAGGGAGATGAGGGCTCCACCGAGAGGGATGCACCCATGCTGCCCACCTACAGCTGGGAGGAGGTCCAGAAGCACAACCTGCGCACGGACCAGTGGCTGGTCATAGACCGCAAGATCTACAACATCACCCAGTGGTCCGGCCGCCACCCGGGCGGACACCGGGTCATCGGCCACTACGCTGGCGAGGATGCCACGGTAAGGGGCGGGGGCTCCGGGCTGACCGGCTGCCCTGTCTCTGGAGAGCTCCCGGGAGGCGGCTTCCTCAGAGCGCCCAGGCCAGCGCGCGCCACCCCACTCCCCCGGCATGACATTCAGGGCACCCCACCCTTCCAACTCACCGACCTCTAACACCCACTCCCCCTCCTCAGCGGTTTGGGCCCCGGGTCCAGCCACCCGGCATCCGGCTGCGCTCCCCCCTGGCAAGGCCGAAAGGGCCGAGGATGGCGGCCGGGGGGTAGCCCAAGCCGCCCGGTGCAGTTCGTTCAGCTCCGCTGAATTTTACCAGGTCCGGGAAGCAGCTGGCCAGCTGCACCGGCTTCCATATGGCCAGGCCCGCCGTTCCCTGGCCTCCCCCGGGCCCCCCCCCCACCCCCGCCCCAGCCAGGGCCTGCATTGTCCTTGTGAGCAGGAAGAAGGAGGTCCCCTGGGTCCCCCGGTTCAGGGTTTGTAGCAGGAGCCTCCTGGCGACCCTCGCTCTGCAGGGCCCTGGAGATGGGGTTATTCTGGGTCATCCTCAGGGAAGCAGAGCCAGCGTGGCCTGAAGGATTTCTCTGCCAGGCCTGCCAGGACCGCCCCCCCTTGTTCCCCTTCCTCATCCCAGCCCTTCAAGGGGGTGACAGGGTCCTGGGAGATGAGCCAGGGTTGCCAGCTCACCAGAGGCGCCGAAGGTGGATGGAGGGATGGATGATGGGTCCCCCGTTTGTGCCTGCATGCACGTGCATGCCCGCCTGTGTGCCCAGCTCTGGAAGAACAGAGGCCTTGTCCTTCCTGAACTTTATCTCCGCTCCAGAACCCAGCACAGGGCTGTCCCCCTCCCGACATGGAATAGACAGAGGTTTCCTTTAATTAACGTTTGTTGGGTCAGTGACCCCATGCTCTTGGAATTGAGGTAGGCAGGTGTGCTCAAAGGATTGGGCACAGAATGGGCAAGAACAGGGCTGGAACAAGCGGGCACATGAGCTGCTGGCAGAAGAGAGTTCCCAGGGACCAGGGGCAGCAGGAAGAGGGGTTGGCGAGGAGGGAAGAATCAACCCCTAGCACAAGGTCTGCACCCAGAGTCCCAGCTGGGCCAGAAGGCAGATAACTGGAAGGTGTGGGCTTCTGCCAGTGACTTGGAAACCTTGACCCCTTCACCCCAGGGAAATGTTTCACTCTTGGTCCATCTGCTTCTCGGCCAGCTCTGGGGACGCCATGGCCAGAGACCCTGGGTACATCACACAGTTTAGGTCTTCAGATCCCTGCCCTCCTGGGCCTTGCAGGGCCAGGGCAGGGGCGGATATCCTCATCATCTCCGGTGCCATTCTAGAGCATGTTGTATATACCAGCCCGTCTGCGGTCACTGGGGTCACTGCCCGTTTGGGGAAGGTGTCTTCCAGGGTATGGGGTAATGCTTAAAGAGCAGGCCTTGGAGTCCATGAAACCCAGATTCAAACCCCACTTCTAATTCTTACTAGCTGTAGATTTAGGGCAAGAAAGAATCATAAAGTCTATCTAATTCACCCTTAGTTTTTTGCTTAACAGATGAAGAAACTAAGGGAAAGGAAGGGAAAAGAATACACATTTATTAAGTGCCTACTATGTGCCAGGCATTGTACTGATCTCATTTGATCTTTGCAACAACTCCGGGAGGTGAGATAGGGGCCTCACTTTACAGATGAGGAAACTGAGGCAGACAGCGGTCAAGTCACTTGCCCAGAGTCACCCAGATAGTAAGTGTCTGAGGCCAGATTTGAACTCAGGTCTTCCTGATGGGGATGGGAATAGCACCTGCCTCCCAGGGCTGTTATAAGGGTCAAATGAGAGAATAATTGTAAAGTGCCCAGCATATAGTAAGCATTATATATAAATATTAGTTATCATCATCATCATCTTAGCCAGCTCCCGCCTAAGGCATAGAGCCCTGGGCCTGGAATCAGGAAAACCTGAGTTGAGAGCTAGCCTCAGGTATCTACTAGTGTGTGACCCTGGGCAAGTCATTTAACCCTGTTTGCCTCAGTTTCCTCATCTGTAAGAGGAACTGGAGAAGGAAATGGCAAACCGCTCTAGTATCTTTGACCAAAAAACCCCAAATGGGGTCATGATGTCTAAGAGACCTATTACTTCTGAATCCTTTGACCCTGTGATTCTTTGCATTGGGGTGATCAGAGTCCCCTCTCCTTTACTAGCTGTATGGCCCTGAGTGAGTCGTTGCCCCTCAGCCTTGGTTTTCCCCTCTGCAAAATGGGGGGTAATGGTATTCATTTTGCTGCCCCTTAGGGGATGCTGGGAGGAGAGTGCTTTGTTTGATCTGGGATACTGCAGAGAAAGAGGGCCAGTGTGACCCGAAGGCAATTATCTTTTCATGCTCGGAAACTCAGCCTAGCCCTCACTTTGATCCGGAGGCCTTAATCAATCCATCTGAGCAGAGAGTGTGGTATTTGTTCTGGGAAGGTTTGTGCTGGCCTTCGGTCAGAAGCACTCAGAGTTCCAACAGGGCCTGCTGGGCAGGTTCCTGCTGGGCAGGGGGAGGGTTGAGGAGGGCACTTCACCCACCTCTGGGCTGGAAGTGAGTTTGAACGGACATTCCTACGGTTCGTCCCAGAGTTAGGAAGGCTTAAGTGACATCGAATATAACCTGCAGTTGGCCAAGAACCAGCCGTTTCTACAACATCTCAAGAAGTGGTTCTCCAGCCTTTACAGGGAGCTCACTACCTCCCTTCTGAGGCAACCCACGGCACTCTGGGACAGCTCAGCTACTGGAAGCCTTTCCTTGATCAAGCCCAAATCGGCCTCTAGCGGGCTTCCCTTGCTCTGGGTTGTATCCTTTTGGGGCCAAGCAGATAAGAAGGCCTCCTTTCTTCCACAAACGGCCCTTCCTGTACTTAGCATCGATCTTAGATATGACCCTGGCAGGGCTCCCTGAGGCCTTCTGACCAGCCCCCTCACTACTCGCCTGCCTGAGGCAGGAGGGCCTGAAACCTAGGTCCTGGGCTCCAGGGGCTCCATGCTGTCCATTCCCAAGACTTGAAAACAGCTAGCCTGCCCCTCCCCGTCTTCTCTTCTCCATGCTGAGCATCCCCACGTCCTTCAGCTGTTCTCAGAGGAGGTTGGGGTTCAAGACACTTGATGCTTCTCCCCATCACACCCACTTGTTCAGTCGTGTCTCACTCTTTGTGACTGCATTTGGGGTTTTCTTGGCAAAGATATTGGAGTGGTTTGCTGTTTCTTTCTCCAGCTCATTTTACAGATAAGGAAACTGAGGCAAACGGGGTGAAATGACTTGCCCAAGGTCACACCCATTTCTTCAGATGAGAAAGGAACTGCCTCAGCATCTTTCTTTTCAAAGAACAGCAGTTACTCCTAACTTAAGCACATTAAAGAGACTATTCCCAGCCTAGGCCGTGATTCTAGAAATAAGGAAGCAAGTCCGGTCAGCCCACCATCTGGTGCCCGGGGCTGAGGCTGGGTGCTCCAGTTTAGGAAGAGCCTTGATAGGTTGGGGGTATCCAGAGGAGGGCAGCTGGAGTCTGGGTACTGTCAGGATCATTTGATTTAGTTGAAGGAGTTGGGGGCGGTTAGACTGGAGAAGATAAGACTGGGGGAAGTAGGGGATGGGGGAAAGCATGACGGCTGTGTTCACATCTTTGAAGGACTGTTGTGTGATAAAGGGGTTAGCCCCACTCTGATTGGCCACAAAAGACAGAACCAGGAGCAATGAGGAGAGGGTTGAGGAAGAAAACCAAGGCTGGTTGTTGGGGAAAACTTCTCCACCATGGAGCTGTCCAGGAGAGGGATGGGCTGCTTCAGGATGGGGTGGTGGGCTCCCCTCATGAGACAGAGGGAGGGAGAGGGGGAGAGAGATAGAAGAGAGAGAACTGAGAGAGAAGGAGAGTGGAAGAGAGAGCTAGAAGGGGAGAAAGAGAGAGAGTGTGTGTGGAGAATGGAAGGGAGAGAGAGAGAGAAGGAGAGAGAGAAGGAGAGAAGACAGAGATGGAGAGTGGAAGACAGAGAGGGAGGGAGGGAGGGAGGGAGGCGGGCTGTATGGCCACATCAGGGGTTAGAGTTGGAGCAGATAGCCACCCATGGTCCCCTCCAACTCTAAATTTTGTGATCCAGAGGAGAAAGGTCCAACTCAGGCTAGAGAGAAGGGGCTTGGCCCTCATCGCCTCACCCTCTGCGTGGCAGAGATAGGAGTCAAAGCCAGGTTTCTAGGTCCCCACTTCACCATGCTCTCCACTGCAGCCCATTGGTGGCCTTTTCCTGAGTGGCTGGTTTGCCTGGCAAAGTCTTTAGGAGCTTGGCCAAGGAGGGGGAGCTCAGACCTAGGCATCGTGGCGAGATGGAAAGAAAGCAGGATTTGGGCAGAGGATTAGTGCATGGCATCCCTGAGGCTGGCTATCTGTAGGACCTTGTGCAGACCCCTCCCCCGCTCTGGGCCTCAGTTTCCTCATTTATCAAAGGAAGGGGGCTGGGCTAGATGCTAGTGCCTTTCAGCCCTGGATCCTTAGAGGAGCCGATGAGCCCTGCCCTGAGGTCAGCGTTAAGTACGAGAGAATATGGAGGTTTGGTCACTGTTTGGAGACCTGACTTGATGGGGCACTGTCCACCCCTCATTTGAGCAGTGACAGGTGATGTTCCCTAGGACAGACAGTCTTGCCAAGGGACATATTTGGACATGAATCCCTGAAGATATGCTTGAAAAGAGGAGCCTGAGTCCCTAGCCTTTCTCTGCACTTTTCCTGCCACTCAGACCCTGTTGGGGGCTGCCTGGGCAGCACACTGTCCGTGGACTGGTGGGACTTTGGAGGCTGGCCTCCTCGTTTTTTAGAGGAGAAGGAACTTGTCCAAGGTCACATGACTAGTTGGTGATGGAGCCAGCATCTGGATCCCAAGCTCTTTGGAGTGCCCCCGACTGGCCAGAATGGATGTTCTGGAGGGAGGATTTCTGGATGGACCCAGGGCAGGGGCTCAGAAGAGCATGTACCCATTCCATTATA